AGAGCATTCGCCAAGGTACAGGATAGTTCTAGAAACGTGGCGTGACACTAGTCATGTGACTTCGCTGACGTAACAATATATTGTAAAAAAGTTAAACACATCTTTAATAAAAAAAATTACAAAAATGAACTTACTTGTACAACTTTCTGGCTGAAACTAAAACACATTGACTGATTCATACGTTATCCTTTTAACTATGTTCTCCGAAACTTTTTATATTTTACCTTCGAATGTGTTAGAACACTAGCAGCCAAATCTTTCTAAGCCTATTGTCATTAAACCATTCGATCTTAATGACATCATATCGACCCGCTCTATCCCTTGTTAAACCTCACACTTCTACTTGTTTTATACTGTCTACCACCACTGGAGCCCAAGTGATGTATCATATCGAATAATCTTATGTTTATGTGTGTTTTATGATACAACATTTAATATCAGAAATTACCAAAAAACATTGGCTAAAATCATCTACTCTTCATATAAGATACATAAGGAAACTCAACAGTAATCGCTTGTTATTTTGTTTATATTTTTGGTTTCACTCTTCTATTATTATATTGCTGTATTAATGTTTGTACCGAACAACAGTGACAGATAAATCCATTGACAGACCCAACGGGAATTCTCGGTATCTGGGTGGGCCAGCCCGACCATGGAGAGTATCATTTATAGGCAGGGCTTACAAAACGATACATTAATAAGTCGTTAATCTTTGTCGAAAACTTTCGATATCAGGGATGTCAGCCTTGGCCTTCACTTCGACATCTCTACCTTTACCAGTTCTCCTGAAAATTTTAAAACAAGACTAATATCTTAAATTCCTTCCAAAATTAATTCTCTCAGCCCACGAACTATTAATCAGAAACCTCCTTATTAATAGTTATTAAAACATACTGTTACGACAGCGGAAGTCACGCGACGCTGGGAGCATGCGCGCAGGAGTTTCTAGAAGGATCATGAATTTTCCTGGCAACTCTAGTTGGTTCGAGTCGCCCTCTTTTTTAGTATATAAGCCTGGCGAGAAAAACCAGCGCGATATAAGAGATAGATAGGCAGATAGATTGAAGATAGAGATAATTAAGTCAAGCGAACAGTAGGCACCGTAAGTAAAGTGTGAGAATCACTGTGATTTATAGCGTGTGTTATAAAAGTTGTTAAGTGTATTACAAAGTTGTATCCAGAAAGAATAAACTAGTTTTAATTAAGAAAGGACTTGTATCGCTGAAGTTCCTCGGAAATAATTTATACCGGAAATTAAGGAAATTATCAAACGAGCAGAGACGTAACAATAC